TCCCGAAAAGGAGATAATCTACTTTTCGGGAAAGTAGATAACCAACTTTCCCAGAGAGTAGATATTTCCCATTTTCTATGATACAAATTACCATTTTCTGTGATAAGTAGATAACCAACTTCCCAGAAAGTAGATATTTCCCATTTTCTATGATACAAATTTCTCGTTTTCTATGATAATCTACTTCACAAAATTAAGTAATATTTCCCCAAAAGTCGATAAGCTACTTCCCCGAAAAGTCGATAATCTACTTTCCCAAAAAGTAGATAATCTACTTTTCAGGAAAGTAGATGACCAACTTTCCCGGAAAGTAGATATTTCCCATTTTCTATGATACAAATTACCATTTTCTATGATAAGTAGATAACCAACTTTCCCAGAAAGTAGATATTTCCCATTTTCTATGATACAAATTTCTCGTTTTCTATGATAATCTACTTCATAAAATTAAGTAATATTTCCCAAAAAGTCGATAATCTACTTCCCCAAAAAGTCGATAATCTACTTTCCCGAAAAGTAGATAACCTACTTTTCAGGAAAGTAGATAACCAACTTTCCAGGAAAGTAGATATTTCCCATTTCTTATTATACAAATTTCCCTTTTTCTATGATAAATAGATAACCAAGTTTCCCAGAAAGTAGATATTTTCCATTTTCTGTGATACAAATTTCCCGTTTTCTATGATAATCTACTTCAGAAAATTTGGTATTATTTCCCAAAAAGTCGATAATCTACTTTACCGAAAAGTAGATAATCTACTTTTTGGGAAAGTGGATGACCAACTTTCCCGGAAAGTAGATATTTCCCAATTTCTATGATATAAATTTCCCGTTTTCTATGATAAATAGATAACCAACTTTCCCAGAAAGTAGATATTTCCCATTTTCTGTTATACAAATTTCCCGTTTTCTATGATAATCTACTTCAGAAAATTTGGTAATATTTCCCAAAAAGTCGATAATCTACTTCCCCAAAAGTCGATAATCTACTTTACCGAAAAGTAGATAATCTACTTTTAGGGAAAGTAGATGACCAACTTTCCCGGAAAGTAGATATTTCCCATTTTCTATGATATAAATTTCCCGTTTTCTATGATAAATAGATAACCAACTTTCCCAGAAAGTAGATATTTCCCATTTTTTTTTATACAAATTTCCCGTTTTCTATGATAATCTACTTCAGAAAATTTGGTATCATTTCCCCAAAAGTCGATAAGCTACTTCCCCGAAAAGTCGATAATCTACTTTCCCAAAAAGTAGATAATCTACTTTTCAGGAAAGTAGATGACCAACTTTCCCGGAAAGTAGATATTTCCCATTTTCTATGATACAAATTACCATTTTCTATGATAAGTAGATAACCAACTTTCCCAGAAAGTAGATATTTCCCATTTTCTATGATACAAATTTCTCGTTTTCTATGATAATCTACTTCATAAAATTAAGTAATATTTCCCCAAAAGTCGATAATCTACTTCCCCGAAAAGTCGATAATCTACTTTCCCGAAAAGTAGATAATCTACTTTTCAGAAAAGTAGATAACCAACTTTCCAGGAAAGTAGATATTTCCCATTTCATATTATACAAATTTCCCTTTTTCTATGATAAATAGATAACCAAGTTTCCCAGAAAGTAGATATTTTCCATTTTCTGTGATACAAATTTCCCGTTTTCTATGATAATCTACTTCAGAAAATTTGGTATTATTTCCCAAAAAGTCGATAATCTACTTTACCGAAAAGTAGATAATCTACTTTTTGGGAAAGTGGATGACAAACTTTCACGGAAAGTAGATATTTCCCATTTTCTATGATATAAATTTCCCGTTTTCTATGATAAATAGATAACCAACTTTCCCAGAAAGTAGATATTTCCCATTTTCTGTTATACAAATTTCCCGTTTTCTATGATAATCTACTTCAGAAAATTTGGTATTATTTCCCAAAATGTCGATAATCTACTTCCCCAAAAGTCGATAATCTACTTTACCGAAAAGTAGATAATCTACTTTTAGGGAAAGTAGATGACCAACTTTCCCGGAAAGTAGATATTTCCCATTTTCTATGATATAAATTTCCCGTTTTCTATGATAAATAGATAACCAACTTTCCCAGAAAGTAGATATTTCCCATTTTCTGTTAAACAAATTTCCCGTTTTCTATGATAATCTACTTCAGAAAATTTGGTATTATTTCCCAAAAAGTCGATAATCTACTTCCCCCAAAAGTCGATAATGTACTTTATCGAAAAGTAGATAATCTACTTTTTGGGAAAGTAGATGACCAACTTTCCCAGAAAGTAGATATTTCCCATTTTCTATAATATAAATTTCCCGTTTTCTATGATAAATATATAACCAACTTTCCCAGAAAGTAGATATTTCCCATTTTCTGTGATACAAATTTCCCGTTTTCTATGATAATCTACTTCGGAAAATTTGGTAATATTTCCCAAAAAGTCGATAATCTACTTCCCCGAAAAGTCGATAATCTACTTTCCCGAAAAGTAGATAATCTACTTTTTGGGAAAGTAGATAACCAACTTCCCCGGAAAGTAGATATTTCCCATTTTCTATGATATAAATTTCCCATTTTCTATGATAAGTAGATAACCAACTTTCCCAGAAAGTAGAAATTTCCCATTTTCTGTGATACAAATTTCCCATTTTTTATGATAATCTACTTCAGAAAATTTGGTAATATTTCCCAAAAAGTCGATAATCTACTTCCCCAAAAGTCGATAATCTACTTTACCGAAAAGTAGATAATCTACTTTTAGGGAAAGTAGATGACCAACTTTCCCGGAAAGTAGATATTTCCCATTTTCTATGATATAAATTTCCCGTTTTCTATGATAAATAGATAACCAACTTTCCCAGAAAGTAGATATTTCCCATTTTCTGTTATACAAATTTCCCGTTTTCTATGATAATCTACATCAGAAAATTTGGTATTATTTCCCAAGATGTCGATAATTTACTTCCCCAAAAGTCGATAATCTACTTTACCGAAAAGTAGATAATCTACTTTTAGGGAAAGTAGATGACCAACTTTCCCGGAAAGTAGATATTTCCCATTTTCTATGATATAAATTTCCCGTTTTCTATGATAAATAGATAACCAACTTTCCCAGAAAGTAGATATTTCCCATTTTCTGTTAAACAAATTTCCCGTTTTCTATGATAATCTACTTCAGAAAATTTGGTATTATTTCCCAAAAAGTCGATAATCTACTTCACCCAAAAGTCGATAACCTACTTTATCGAAAAGTAGATAATCTACTTTTTGGGAAAGTAGATGACCAACTTTCCCAGAAAGTAGATATTTCCCATTTTCTATGATATAAATTTCCCGTTTTCTATGATAAATAGATAGCCAACTTTCCCAGAAAGTAGATATTTCCCATTTTCTGTTAAACAAATTTCCCGTTTTCTATGATAATCTACTTCAGAAAATTTGGTATTATTTCCCAAAAAGTCGATAATCTACTTCACCCAAAAGTCGATAACCTACTTTATCGAAAAGTAGATAATCTACTTTTTGGGAAAGTAGATGACCAACTTTCCCAGAAAGTAGATATTTCCCATTTTCTATGATATAAATTTCCCGTTTTCTATGATAAATAGATAGCCAACTTTCCCAGAAAGTAGATATTTCCCATTTTCTGTGATACAAATTTCCCGTTTTCTATGATAATCTACTTCAGAAAATTTGGTATTATTTCCCAAGATGTCGATAATTTACTTCCCCAAAAGTCGATAATCTACTTTACCGAAAAGTAGATAATCTACTTTTAGGGAAAGTAGATGACCAACTTTCCCGGAAAGTAGATATTTCCCATTTTCTATGATATAAATTTCCCGTTTTCTATGATAAATAGATAACCAATTTTCCCAGAAAGTAGATATTTCCCATTTTCTGTTATACAAATTTCCCGTTTTCTATGATAATCTACTTCAGAAAATTTGGTATCATTTCCCAAAAAGTCGATAATCTACTTCCCCCAAAAGTCGATAATCTACTTTATCGAAAAGTAGATAATCTACTTTTTGGGAAAGTAGATGACCAACTTTCCCAGAAAGTAGATATTTCCCATTTTCTGTGATACAAATTTCCCGTTTTCTATGATAATCTACTTCGGAAAATTTGGTAATATTTCCCAAAAAGTCGATAATCTACTTCCCCGAAAAGTCGATAATCTACTTTCCCGAAAAGTAGATAATCTACTTTTTGGGAAAGTAGATAACCAACTTCCCCGGAAAGTTGATATTTCCCATTTTCTATGATATAAATTTCCCATTTTCTATGATAAGTAGATAACCAACTTTCCCAGAAAGTAGAAATTTCCCATTTTTTGTGATACAAATTTCCCATTTTATGATAATCTACTTCAGAAAATTTGGTAATTTTTCCCAAAAAGTCGATAATCTATTTCCCCTAAGTCAATAATCTACTTTCCCAGAAAGTAGATATTTCCCATTTTATATTATATATATTTCCCGTTTTCAATGATAAGTAGATAACCAACTTTCCCAGAAAGTAGATATTTTCCATTTTCTGTGATACAAATTTCCCATTTTCTATGATAATATACTTCACAAAATTAGGAAATATTTCCCCAAAAGGAATTACTTGTGGTGCTCATATTAAATTATTTGTTCCAGAACATAACCAGTTTCTGGAGCCTTCAGAGCACTGGGACACCGGATAAACGGTCCCATACCTGTATATAGAATAATACAGCAAAAACTACAAGATCTACACATACTGGTATACTGTATGTGGTAATATGTATATGGATCAGAGTGAGAGCAAATGAGTTCTTGCAAGTTGTTGCATTATTTTCTAAAGATGCACTGCCATAACTAGCTCTGCTACATCTTCAGCTAATTTACCTCAAAAGGAGTGGCACTATCACTATTATAACTGGGTTAATAAAAAGCTACTAATAATAATTTGCTTTTAATAACTAAATAAGGCAAACATACAACATTAAACAATACTGAATACTCCATACAATAACTATCTCTAGTGCAATAACAATCTATATAAGTGCTAATTAACAGAATATAATTGTAGTCTATTTAAAAATATTTAGCACACTAAAGAGACAGGCAAAGGTACTGCATTTTAATATACAGGTATTTGTACTGGAGGACTGCTTGCTTCCTCTGTTCAAGTCTCATGGACTTCCCTCCCTCTTCCTTTAATTCCAGTATGTTCACTCATCTGGTTCATTTTTCCATATTCCTAATTCAGTTATTCCCAGCACTTTCTCAGTCTCCCGACACCCGCTCAGTCTCCCGACACCCGCTCAGTCTCCTCGACACCCGCTCAGACTCCCCGACACCCGCTCAGACTCCCCGACACCCGCTCAGTCTTGCTACCACTCACTCTCAATCAATCAGTCTCCCTAACACTCACTCTCAGTCAGTCTCCCCAACACACTCTCAGTCAGTCAGTCAGTCAGTCAGTCTCCCCAACACCCACTCTCAGCCAACCAGTGTCCCTAACACCCACTCTCCACACCCACTCTCAGTTAACCAGTGTCCCTAATACCCACTCTCAGTCAACCAGTGTCCCTAACACCCACTCTCAGTCAACCAGTGTCCCTAACACCCACTCTCAGTCAGCCAGTCTCAACACCCACTCTCAGTCAGCCAGTCTCAACACCCACTCTCACTCAGCCAGTCCCTTCAACACTCACTCAGCCAGTCTACCTAAATCTCAGTCTCAGTAAATCCTCTTCATTCTGTCTTCCCACATCAGTACAAGAAGTGGATTGAGTACCCATCACTGTGACTCTTAGTCCTCCTCCTCACACAGGAATCTGTCAAATCGGTGAAATCCAGCAGTTGAGGTGGTCTCAGCCCCTGATCATTGTCTTTGATATCATTAAGCACAGTTTGGCGGATCTTTCTGATCTTCCTTAGTCTTTCCATCCAGTTACTTGCATATAGGGTATGAGGTGGACGATTTAGTGAATCCAAAATCATTGAAGCGAGCTGTAAAATATAAGCATTGTAGTGTCAGAAAATACATCTGAGCAATATTTTCTTCATCTTTTGATTTTTTTTTGTGTTTAGGTACTCAATGCATTAAGCTGAAGGTAATCTGTGTTTATTGTATCTCCAGCCCCCAGCAGTAATGGAGACACCAGAATAGATACAGACAAACAAAAAGAGAACCTGTGGAACATGGAATCCATAGGTATACAGGAATATGCCAGAGGAGCATTATGTGGAAGAAAACTTCCTTAGAATATTAAAACATGGAGAGCAAATACTGGGTGAGATTACCTTGGAAACCTATTCATCCACCTTTAACAGATACAGTAATTATCAGGTGTGTTTAGCTCAGACCAGACAGACCTACAACAAATTAAAGAAACAAGCTGATAAGTTAGTTATTCAACATTTTTAAATAAAGGGATCAAGAGTTCAGGTTTACCCTTGGTTCAGGAACCAAGGGTAAACCATAAAACACATTATTTGCCACATCTGAGTATAACAAAACAGTCCGGTACTACACCTTTGTGCATAGTATATGCAGTGCTAAGACACCCAAAGGAGTGTCTTTGAATAAGATCGAGATTTCACTGGATTTGGAAGGACTAACAGTAAAGATAAATTTGAACCCTTAGACATGTACAGATTTAAAATTGTTCTTGTCAGCTCTACCTGGTCGCCATATCTACTACAGATGGTATTACAATACCACTGAGCGACTAAATACAGTATAGTGACAATACACATGTGCAGAGGATAAAAAAAATTCCCTCTATACACTATAGACAATTTACAAGGGACAACTAATAGTGAAATGCAGCTAAAACTGTGATGGAAGATGCTTCCATGCCAATACAATAATGGCACACAAAGTTTGTATGGTGATTTACTGAAGAAACAAGATGCAAATTTTTATGCAAAATCCTTTCATGCCAGTAAAGGGTGGTTTAAAGGGTTTAAGAACTGCCCAAATTTGGGTAATATTAAGATGGACGATGAAGCAGCCAGTGCTGATACTGAGGCTGCAAGGAAACATCTTGCAGAACTGAAGGCAATTAAAGAAGCAGATGGCTATACACTAGAACAAGTGTACAATGAGGATGAAACTGGCCCATTTTGGAAGCGCATGCCTGCCAGGACATTTATTTCAAGTGAAGAAAAGTCGGCACCAGACTAAAAGGCTTCAAAGGATCGTCCAATGCTTCTGTTGGGAGGTAATGCTGATGGAGATATGAAGTTAAATCCCTTGTTTGTGTACCATTCTGAAAATCCAAGGGCTTTCAAGGGTTCTCTTCTTACTTCTGCGGGTTGAGCTAATTTACTTTTACTTTTTACTTACTTTTATCCTCCTCACCACTGATTGGCTCGTTAGCCGCTTGGGCGATCTGTCACGTCTCTGATTACTTTTCCTTTTCTTTTATCCTCTTCACCAAAAGATCGGCTCGTTAGCCGCTTGGGCGATCGGTAACGTCTCTGATTACTTTTCCTTTTCTTTTATCCTCTTCACCAAAAGATCGGCTCGTTAGCCGCTTGGGCGATCGGTAACGTCTCTGTTACGCACTGTTGGCAAGTACTGGGCATGCACTAGCTCCTGAATGTACCTGAACCCACTCCAGTGTTGGTCAAGTCTTATCTTGAAAGAGCTCACACTCGGTGCAGTCACAACACTTTCTGGTAGATTGTTCCAAGAGTTCACAACTCTCACTCCAAAAACGTTTGCCCTCACAGTTTTCTGGACTTGCAACTTCTTCAATCTTGAGCTGTGACCCCTTGTGGGGTGAGCGTCTGCCAGCTCCAAGTAAGGACACTCAACTGAGTAGTGCCCCTTGAGATGCTTATACACCTCTATTAGGTCACCCCTTGCCCATCTGTATTATAAGCTAGGCAAGTTCAGGCACTCTAATCTCTCAGGGTAGCTGAGGTGCCAAAGGGCAGGCACCAGTCTGGTGGCCCACCTTTGAACATTTTGAACCAACTGACAGTCCACAGCATATCTCGGGGACCAGATGGGGTGACAGTACCCCAGATGGGGAAGCACTTCACCCTTGAAGATCGTTGCGAGGGACAGACCGTCTAGATATCTGAACGACCTTCTTATAAGACCCAATAATTTATTTGCCTGAATTACCTTCTTCTCGCAATGGCCTGAGAACTTCAGCTCATTGTCAACATTCACACATAGGTCCTTCTCACATTGTCTCAAATAGTGCAGTTTCTTCATCCCGTTGGGACATATGATACGCCTCCTTACCGTTGGTATGCACCAGGTGCATCCTCTTACACTTCGTGACATTAAATCTCGGCAGCCATTTCTTTGACCATTCTTGGAGCCCACAAAGGTCCTCCTGCAGCTCTTCGCAGTCCACTTGGTTCTTGATTTCCCGAAATAACTTGGCGTCATCGGCAAACATTTGTATGGAGGAGTGTACAAAGTCAGGCATGTCATTTATGAAACCAACAAACAACAGCGGGCCCAATACATTGCCCTGCGGTACCCCGCTTGTGACAGGTATGGATGATGATTTTGTACCATTAGTCACCACACACTGCTTGCGGTCATGTAGAAAGTCTTCTATCCACGCAAGGACATTTCCTCGAATTCCGTACCCTTCCAGTTTGATTCTCAGCCTTTCGTAGGGTACACTATCGAAAGCCTTGGCAAAATCTAGGTAAATATTCTCTATATTACCAACCCGTTCCAGAATATGGGTCCAAATATCCAATACCTTGAGCAATTGTGTTTATCAGGAGCACCTGCTTTAAAGTTAGTGGCATTGTCGGAAATAATTAATCTAGGGCAGGAACGTCGAGCTTTAAGTTTTCTGAAAATAGTAATAAAAGTGTTTGCAGTTAAATCTTCTGCAAATTCTAAGTACTGTACAGCTCTAGTCACTGCACATGTAAACAAGTAACCATGAACTTTATTTGATTTCATTCCCCTTTTTCAAGATTATAGCTCCAGCGTAGTCCACTCCCACAAATTGGAATGGTAGTGCATCTTGGACTCTTTCAAGAGGTAATGGTGGAGTGGGTGGTACTACATATCTAGGACCTTCTAAACTTTTACATACTCCACAATGTATGTATTTTTTTTTAATACCTTGTCTTGCTTGGGGTTTCCAAAGTTCTTCCCTTAATTTATTTTAGGGTCTGATTCATCCCTACATGTCATGAGGCTTTGTGGCATTTTTTTTATCATCAATTTAGTTAAATTATGTTTTTTTAGGGAGCACGATAGGATGCCATGTGTTATATGCTATTATCTATTCTTCCAAAGGTTTGAATAATTCCCTCCCATATAAATAATCTGAGTTTTTTTAAACTGATTTGTTCTGTGGTGTAGGATTCATTTGATGCATCATCAGGCTGCATGTTTGCCCTACTTACTGCAGGCATCCCTTGGGTTACTGAATGGTTCCATTCCTGAAGATTTTTATGTATTGCAAAATTTCATAACGCAGGACCAATTTTCCCATTGACTTCCACTATATAAGTTGAGATGCACTTGAACATAATTTTTTTTTTTTACCCAAAAAGGTATTGCAAGCACATATACAAATAAAGAGACAGTTTTAAACACATACAATGATCCAATCAAGATGTAACATTATAATAAATGTTGAGTGAGTTGAGGTGGTGCAATTGGAGTTGTTGAGAGGGAGACGGAGGGTCACTGCTGACTCTTGCCCCTCCATGTATATTATCATCTGCTTCAGTTGCTGTAGGCTGTGGTCTTGGGGCAAAAACTTGTCTACTATAAAGTTGTTTGGCATTGACTGAACTTTTCTGTCGGACTCTAGCAACTCAACCACACAATCCTGATCCACTTCCTCAAACCCTGCACCTTTTGCCAGTGTTACAATTTCTTGTTGAACTTTATTTGTGGTTTCAACTTGGGGAAAACCTTGAAAGGTATGGATGCATTCTGGCCAGATGTTTTTCCTCATGACATTCATTGTTGTTGTTTTCAGTTCATCCAAGAAAGCCTTGTTGGAAATATTTCTGTTGTTATTGTACTATACCTTTCTACTGCTGGACAAGAACAATTTATGAACCAACTTGGAACAGGTTGGCAGTCATCCACGCTTTCCTATTAGAACACCATATCACTGGTAGTTTAGGTTTGGCAGAGAAGTGACCGATCGCCCAAGTGGCTAAAGAGCCGATCTTTTGGTAAAGAGGATAAAAGAAAAGGAAAAGTAATCAGAGACGTGACCGATCGCCCAAGCGGCTAACGAGCCGATCAGTGGTGAAGAGGATAAAAGTAAGTAAAAAGTAAATTAGCTCAAGCCGCAGAAGTAAGAAGAGAACTCGAAACTGTTAAAGTCACTTGGAAGTTCATCGAAGTATCCATCCCAGAATTACAAACCTTACCAGCTGAAATTGAAAGTAATGTTAATAATAGGCTTTTAACTTATCAAAATAGCATCATAAGTAATCTAGAACCCTTCACTCCACATTTGCTCCACAGTAGGATATTGAATACCTATCCAATAAATCCTCACTATGAAAAATAACTGCCAGAACCCCAGAATCATCAACAATTAAATGAACATCAACTGTACGTAGATAAAATACTAGATTTCTTGCAAAAATATGGTGTTCTGAGTACTATTCAACTTCTTTAAGAGAAAGGTAACTGAAATGAGGAGATAAAATTAAGATCTTCGAGCAGAACATTAAGTTAGGTGATGTGTGCTTACTTCATGAAACCAGTTGTAGGGATCACTGGCCACTGAGAAGAATCATAGACTTACCATGATAAAAATGGCCAAGTCAGGGTTGTAAGACTCAAAACACGAATAGGGGAGGTAATTTGTTCAATTCAGCATATCTATCCTCTGGAAGAATCCGTGGAAAGAAATAATGAAGCTCTGGACGAACTCAATAATGATAACATACCAACAAACACAACTGATGTACCTCCCTCAAATGTAAAGTAGATATAAAAACTAACAAGAGAAAGGCCGCCGAACGTTGCAAGACTTGGCTCAAGAAAGTATGTTATGATGAGTCAAGATACCTAATAATGCAACAATTCTCTACACTAAGTATTAAATGTAAAGTAGTAATAATCTTCTAAAACTAGTCATTCCAACGAGCAAATTAAGTGATTACATAAATTAGCTACGAGATGACTAGAGTATGCATACACAAAAGGTGAAGGAGCATAAAGCAGGATCCGAACAAATCCTTCAGCAGCTAGGGACTCTGCAAAAGTGAGTTGAAGAGATGGCAACTAGCAGACCTACTGATAGGGGAGAGGAGGAACAACAGTTACATTTCGAGTGCAAGAACAACATAATAGTGTTTGGAGTCCCTGAGACCCAGTCAGAGGAAGCCGAGAGTAGGAAAACACACAATAAGAAGGAGTTTGAGAATATTTGTACAGAGGCTCTGAAAATGTCAGCCCTCCCTCAGCATGTGAGGAAGCTAGGACAAAAGGAGGAGAACAAGCCTTGCCCCTTCAGTATCACACTAGTGAGTGAGGATAAGAAATGGGAAGTTATTTGGCAAGCAAAAAAATTAGCAATAAGCAATGCATTTCGGAATATATTCATACACCCAGAACGCATGGTAATACAGAGGGAACAGCACAAAAAACTCTAATGGTACTTGAAGCAGTTGGATTCGATGAGGAACAGGGACGGATGTGCATGGGTTATATACAGGGCGAAAGTAGAGGGCGCAAGAGCGCCAGTGTAGAACCATGGGACAGTGGGACACCTCCACTCACTCTACCTCCCACCCAGGAGGCAAGCGCCATGTAAACAATGTCATCTCTGACCACACCCCACAAAATACAATGCATTTAGCAACTGCTGCAACTGCTGAGAATGGAGGGAGGCTGGAGTCACTACCAAGATCAGAGACAATACAGAAATCAAATTCCGGCTTGAAAGTCACGTACACTAATATTGAAACGTTCCTTGGTAAAAGAGAGGAGTTTGAAACACTACTGACGGTACATCAACCTGATATAGTAGGTGTTGTAGAACTGTTGTACAAGAACAGGAAAATCGAATGTGCGTTCATTATAGATGGATATGTCTCATTTATGATCCTTTCTCGAGCAACTTGCAAGAGGGATGTGGTTATTATCCATGCTAGGCAAGATCTTAGAGTCAGCCAAGTGAGGGTACAGGAGGAGAAAGTTTTGGAAGAATCAAAATGGTGGAAATTAAATTAAAGGGAAGAGACTTACTTATTGTTGGATGTATTTACATATCCCCAAACTGCAGCTTATTAAACCAAAGGAATTTAAGAGCCTTGATTGACAATCCAACGGCACTCAACCAAGCCATCTCCTTGTTATGGGGGACTTATCTATGAGGCCATCAACTAGAAAAATAAAAACACACCAAATTACCTGAATAACCCCGCTACTCTTTTTGTAGAAACTCCGAGAGACAATTTTCTGTTTCAACATGTTAAAAGATCCGACTTATTACAGAGGGGAGCAAACACCCAAAATACTGGACCTCATCATAACTAACGAGGAGGGTATGGTGGCCAAACTGGAACACCTAGTCCCCATTAGCACCAGTCACCACATAATGCTGTCCTTCAGATTTAACCGTTACTTGGTTAATGACAAAACCAGGACATAGTTAAAATATTACAAGGGTAATTACAACCGGATGAGGGGTATCCACTGCCCTGACTCACTAAGGTATGAGAACGCAGACACTACGCTGAATATCATAGCCAGTAAAGTGAACCATTTGATCAATAAATATATATCCAAGACCAAACCCACTGCCTCTAGGAATACAAGGAGACCGCAACACATGAACCATGCAGTGTTCGACAAAGTTAAGAAGAAAACAAAGAAATTCAAGATGTGAGTTAGGAAAATGATGAATAGGACAGGAGGATTTAAGCTAGATCCAACGAACCAAGTAAAGACAGAGTGTAGAAAGGCTGAAAAAAAAGAGTTCCAAAGGCAGATTGTGAGCAAGGACAAGTCAAACCCAAAGGTGTTTTACCGCTATGCAAAGTCAAAATTAAAAACATGAGTAGGCATATCGGACCTGAGGCTTGAAGATGGTATTTATGCAGATTCTGACCAGGAGATGGCGGAGGGGTTGAAAAGTTTTTTTGCCTCGGTGTTCACAAGAGAGGATGTGAACAATCTTCCTAAGTTTGAGGACATGGTTTGACACAGTGCTGACCCACATTGTGTTCTCAGAAGATGTTATAAGAAATTTGTCAAAGCTAAAGGTTCATAAGTCCTGGCCCTGACATGGTGCATCACAGATTACTAAGAGAGTTGTGCAATGAGCTTGCTGAACCCCTGATGATCCCGTTCTGTAGATGCCTAGATGAGCAAAAGGATCCCAGCAATTGGAAAATGGCTTCTGTGAGTCCTATTTTCAAGAAGGGCGATCGTCACTCCACGAATAATTATAGACCAGTTAACCAGACCAGCATAGTGTGTGAAGTACTTGAGAGCATTATAAAAGATGCCATGATGGAACATCTACTATGAAACAACCTTGTAAAGGATTGCCAGCACGGGTTTATGCCGGGACGCTCCTGTTTAACACATTTACTCAAGGTACTGGATGTTTGGACCCAAATTCTGGAAAAGGGTTGCAATATCAACAATATATACCTAGATTTTGCCAAGGCATTCGACAGCGAACACCACAAAAAGCCGAGAATTAAAATGGAAAGGTACAGGATTCGGGGAAGTGTCCTAGAGTGGATTGGAGACTTTCTGATTGATCGCAAGCAATGTGTGGGGATTAATGGTGTGAAATTGTCATGTGTTCCTGTGACAAGAGGGGTACCACAGGGCAGTGTATAGGGCCCATTGTTTGTTTGTTTGTTTGTTTCATAAATGATATGCCAGAAGCTATACACTCCTCCATACAAATGTTTGCAGATAACGCAAAGTTATTTAAGGAAATTAAGAACCAAACAGACTGTTAAGAGCTGCAGAAAGATCTCTGAGCTTTAAGAATGGTCAAAGAAATGGGTGCTAAGATTCAATGTCACAAGTGTAAAAGGATGCACCTGGGGTCATGCTAATGGTAAGGAGGCGTATCATAAGTCCCACTGGGATGAAGAAATTGCATTTATAGACTGAATGCAAAAAGGATTTGGTTGTGCATGTTGACAATGAACTGAAGTTCTCGGGCCATTGTGAGAAGGTGAATCAAGCAACTAAATTATTGGGTCTTATAAGAAGGTCGTTCAGATATCTAGACGGTCAGTCCCTCATAACAAACTTCAAGAGTGAGGTGCTTTCCCGCCTAAAGTACCGTCACCCAGTCTGGTCCCCATGATTTGCTATGGACTGTCAGTTGAATGAAAATGTCCAAAAGAGGGCCACCAGTCTGGTGCCTGTACTTTGGCACCTCAGCTATCCAAGAGAATAGAGTGCCTGCAATTTCCTAGCTTATATTACAGACAGGCAAGGGGGTGACCTAATTGAGGTGTATAAACATCTCAAGGGGCACTACAGGTACTCAGTCGAGTGTCCTTACTTGGACTTGGCAGATGCTCGCCCCACAAGGGGTCACAGCTCAAAATTAAAGAAGCCGCAAGTGCAGAAAACTGTGAGGGCAAACTTTTTTTTGGAAAGAGAATTGTAATCTCTTGGAATAACCTGCCAGTGTGTGTTGTGATGGCACCGAGTGTGAGCTCTTTCAAGACTAGACGTATCAACACTGGAGCAGGTTCAGTTACATTCAGGAGCCGGTGCATGCCCACTACTTGCCAACAGTGCATAATAAATGTGACCAACCGCCCAAGCAGCTAACAAACCGATCATTGGTGAAGGGGATAAAATTAAAAGCAAAAAGTTAAATTTGGGGGGCCTCTGGTCCTTAGCCCCTTACTTTGTATTTCAATATGTAATTTTTTATCACAATCTAACGATTTTGCAAACGTTCTCAGTCCCTATTTAGTGAAATAACCAGAGGCTACTGTATATGCTACAAATTATTATTTGACATTTAATTTCCCTTGACTAGAGCTTATTATGGAAAGATAATTAAATAATCCTACCATTCATACTTTTATCAAATATTTTATAACTCTCACAATATTATTACTCACATTGGCATGGAGAGCAAGTTGTCGTACTAAAACGGGCAGATTATCATCAGACACAAGCCTGGGATCACCATTTCCTATATACTCCCTCAGCTCTGGTCGACACAGGAGACCCACAGTGTTGGTATGGTGGTCATATGGAACCACCTCAACAACTGTGTGGTTGAATTGACCCTAGAAATGATGTCAGCCAGATTGTCATTTGCAAATGGAATGACAATAAACAAAAAAGTTATTAACACATTTCATTGATAAGCTTTACCACTTCTATCTTCTCTAGTTGTAGCAGCCTAGTGGCCACTTGGCTGGCCACTAAAATGGAATTCCTGCTATATTATATAGTTTTGCTTAATTCTATGGAGTCTTATTTCATATACTGTATAGTACTCATCCTATATTTTTAAAATTAACAATAAATTCAGCTTGTACCACCATCTAGCATTTATATCATAAAAAGGAACAATAATTATTAATGAGTCATATCATCACTATTACTCACTTTACTTTTGATTTATTTTTTCTCTAATATGCATAAAGTTATCCTTCCTCTTGAATTTTTGAGCACTATATATGACTTCTCTAACAATATTTTTTCAAACCGAGAAAATATATGCATATCCAAGATATGAAAACAGCTATGCCAATTATGTAACTGACCTTGTGTCACAGTATTGCTGGATGAATTTTTGTGTTCAGACACTTACAACTGCAGTATAGAGGAGATTTTACCCATAGATTACAGCTGTCATTACCTAATTCAACCCCAATCACTAAACTTCAGTGACAACACAGAAGATACCGGTATATATTTTCTAGTCATGTCTCCAAGCAAACCAGTGTTATCTTCACTATTTTAAGGTCATTTTCCATGATTGCATGAGTCAGTAGGACAACATTGGAAACTCTGCTTCTTGTCTGATCAGCGAAGTTAAGCAACATTGGGTCTGGTTAGTACGTGGATGAGTGACTGCCTAGCCCTAAGAAACAAGCCTCTCATGGATTTGTCAGCTGTCCTTGGTCAAACTGACTGAATATTAATTATTATTATTAGCCATGATTATCTGATACTGTAGTATGGTGTCCAGTAACCATCAGCAAATTTAAAGCAAGTTTTATGGCTGAATGCCCTTCATATCAAACTCACTTTTAGAGTGGGAACTGATCATCATAATTATGTAGTCTATTTACCTTGATAGTGTTCATGTCGTAGGGTTTACCACTCTCATTGTACACAATGGTAACATAATTGTTACCTATATGGCATTTCTTTCCATTACAATTGGGGTCCAAATTCTTTGTAGGCATTAGTGTTGCAACATGGAATACAACCTGAAATACAAATAACATGAATATTCAATACAACAACTCACTGGAAACAGGACCAATTTAAAAATTTGAGAGCCAACTAGTGAATGAGAAAATTAAGAAAATTAACCCCTTAGACAGAGAATTTTTGGTTTTCTCATGAAATAGCGAATAATTTCCAGAGAGGGTAAATGCAATAAAAATACCTGTACAGACCAGTAGTAGGTCAGAAAAAAAACAGCTGTCTTCAAGAGCGTTTTCCTGTGGGAACGCTTGGGCCTAAGGGATGGCAGGGTGGGGAAGATGGAGGGACAAGGGAAGGTAGCAGGGGATGTGGAGAGACGTGGGGAAGGTATACAGAGGGTATGATTGGTATGAATCTAGCATGAATTAGTGGCCATGGGGCATTGTTTGGGTGGCAAAATGAAGGCTCCCACATTTAAAACAAAAAACAGACCAAGCCCCACATTGTACGATGTGGTTAGTACCCAATGGAAAATCCCATTGTTCGAAGAGATTATTTGTTAGGGGGTTAAGGGACCACTTACGCAAATATATATTACAGTAATAATAATAATAATAATAATGCCTAGTGTTTACAAAAATATGGAATGCATTTCAGTAATCATGATATACAGTACATTCAAATATACAACACAGTACAGGGGGATCTCGTTATACGAGCATTCTTTATATGAGAATTTGATGATATACGAGGTTAAGGAATTTGCACCTTATATTCGATATACAAGCGATATTGTTCAATGATGCAAGAAGCGAGTACAGTGACCACTGGGGTTAGTTATACTACTGACTTTCCTGTGAAAAAGCCATAATTTTGAGCAACATATTACTGTACAGTAGAATGTCGATTTAAAGCGATTCAATTTAAGATTATTGATTTAAAGCGACACCCACAATTAAAGACAATGTTTTAATTTAAAGCGGATCTTTCCTATTTTGCGCGAGTCAATCAGGTGCATCATATTTTAAAATTCGCACCTAATGTTTCTCTGGGCACACTACACTGTCCTAAGGGCAAAGCTGTACTGTATATGTACTCAAAATAATGTACTAACAATTACTAAAATTTTTGTCTAGTGCAAATAATAGCATGATTATACAGTATTCAAATTAATCACTATCTTATAAGAATTCCAGCAATGTAAATTATATTCTCCACGGTCACTTCTGTGACATTTTATAAACAAAAAACAAAACCTCAACCTAAAGAACATAAATAAACAAATAAATACTTCACTAGACCTTGGCCCAATTGGCAAACATGTCACGTCACCTCCCCCCCCTCCCTCCCTCCCTCCCACTCCCCCATCTTCCCAGGCAGGGCTTGGTGGTTTTAGTCTTTAAGTTTTATCTTATATAATATCACAGACTAAAGTTAGGAGAATATAATTTGCATTGCTAGAATCTTTGCAAGACAGCAAATAATTTGAATATAAATGGCATATAATTTGCACAAGAAATAACAATTTTAGCCCTTTGTAATAAAATTAATTAGAACATGTCAGTTCAGTGACATTTTATAAGAGAAAAACTTAAAGTCACTCTTAAGGACATAAATAAATAAGCACTAGACCTTGGCATCAGCTGATCGCAAGTAAACAGACCATTTCACATCCCATAACTTTAGCTGTGTTGATTTATGAGTGTTTGTTTTAACATAATACTACAAAAAGCAATGTTTTATTTATTCTAGGAGATGGGCTGAGGTGCATCTGGGTAGACTCTCAGTCTTTTTAGTATTTTGTGTTTCTCTCAAGTACCAAACTAAATTATTCCATTGAAACAACACTTCGATTTAGTGCGAATTCGGTTTAAAGCGACATCTCTTGGAAAGTATCTCGTGTTATATTGACATTCTACTGTACTCACTTTGTACTCAAATGTACTACACTAAAGGGCTAAAATGTTTATCTCTTGTGCAAATTATGTGATATTTATACTCAAATTATTCGCTATCTTGCAAGGATTCCTGCAATGCAAGTTATATTCCTTCCCCCAGCCAGAAGCGCAGGGACGTGTTTGTGAGCCACTCAGCCAAGCCACGCACCCCTCCCCTACATGCCTACCGTCCTCTCCCTTCTCAGTGTTTGAATCTGCTATCCAAGTTTGTCTGCTCGTACTGAATTGCATTTATTTACTATCATCGCTATACTTGGTGCTTGGGAACATATTCCTATTTAACCCATGTATTTTTCCCTCCATTATACAAGTTTTCGCTATACGAGCTGACTCCAAGGAACGTATCTACTTGTATCATCGAGATTGTACTGTAGACCCTTGCCGTTTGCAGATTTGCGATTTCAAAGATTTACAGTAAGCAGCTGGTGGCTATGGTGGCTAGCTTGCGAGTCTTTTCCCACAGAGCAACGAGTCACCCTATGTGCCTGCGGCATCTCACTCCCTCTTCGCGCTTACCCAGTACCCGTGACCTAGCATCATGTGTCATCCTATCAAAACTTTTGTGTTTCTTTGTGAAAATGGCCCCTAAAAGACTACCTAGTGTCAGTGCTAGTGATGCTAGTGGAGTGAAATGTAAAAGGCAAAAGTCAGTGATGACCATGCCAAAGAAAGTTGAATTATTAGACAAGTTAAACGAATCCCTAGTGAGGTATATCAAGAAAAATGAACAAGCAATTTGTGATACTGTTCAAGCGAGTGCTCCTGCAAGTGTTTAAGTGGCACAGGTTGTTCGTGACAAGAACATAGTGAAAACTGAGAAAGTACTGAACATTTGGGTTGGGGACCAGTGCCACAAAAATGTTCCGATTGACAGCAACGTGATTCATGAAAAGGCTAAAATTCTGTATGCTCATTTTTATGAGTCAACAGGTGGTGAAGGGGCTAGTGCGGCGACTGAACCAACTTTTAGTGCCAGTAAAGAATGGTCCGAGAATTAAAAAAACGATTCTCACTCCATAATGTTAAGTTGACTGCATCAGCTGACCACACAGCCGCAGATGCTTTTCCCGCCATGCTAGAGAAAATAATAAAAGAGTTAGGCTATAGACCACATCAAGTGTTTAATGTCGATGAATCTGGTTTATATTGGAAAAAAATGCCTGGTAGAATGGACATAAAGAAGCAGGAGAGGCATGCCCCTGGGTTCAAAGCAGCCAAGGACAGTAACGTGCATCTTTTGTGGCAATGCAGTTGGCCACATGATCAAACCTGGCTTGCTTTACCGCTCAGCAAACCCAAGGGATTTAAAGGGAAAGAAAAACAAAACAAGAACCTTTTGCCAGTTTTTGGGCAATCTAACAAAAAGGCATAGATAACTGTGCAAGCATTCCTGGATTGGTTTCATAAATGCTTTGTTCCGGAAGTGGAAAAATACCTTGCTTCCAAGAAGATGGAATTCAAGGTGTTATTACTGATAGACAAAGCACCAGGCCACCCAGAAAGTTTGCAGTTTAGCCAACACCACTCTGAACATCATTGCTTTTATTCAGCCACTCGATCAGGGTGTAATATGCACCTTCAAGGTATATTACACCTAATGCTCTTTTGGTTGTATCCATAGTGCCATGGAAGCAGACCTTGACCTTGATGTTAGCAAGTGTTGGAAGGAGTACAGCATTGTGGGCTGCATTACCAACATCAGTGAAGCATTTAATGAACTCAAACCAGAGACAGTGAATAATTGTTGGCGAACCTTTTGGCCTAAGTGTGTTAATAACTTCCAGGGATTTCCGTCCATAGTAAAGGATGTGAATGACATTGTGAGTGTTGCACATCAGTTGGGTGGTGAAGGGTTTGTGAACATGGCTGCTGAAGATGTGGAAGAGCTGATTGATGGGCATGGAGAAGAACTAACAGAAGAGGATCTGGAAGAATTGGTAAAAAGTGCTGCGGAAGATGAAGAGGAAGAAATTATGGAATTGCAACAAGAAGGTTATTATAAAAGTGGCTATTCACGGTTTTGCCAATTGTGCCATTTCTTGGTACCTAACCTTCACTAATGGCAAGGGTTTACTGTACTACAGAAATAATGAACTTTCCAAAAGTAAATTACACTTTTGAGAGCACAAACCTGCATAACATCATCTTGCCATATAAAAACTGCTTTGCCATCACTTCCCTTTGTGTCAAGGCCACCAAGAAACACTTCATCTTGTGATAATGATTGAAGATCAAGTCCTTTACCCAAACCCTGTAAGAAAAGCATCGAGTAAGTGGAAGGGTATATATTTGAGTGTAGCCAGTGTTTATTATCAAATTTTATGCAAAAAGAAGGGGGACGAATATGCTATAAAGTTACAATTTAACATCAACAAAGCTTACCCAACCTGCTGATATGACCTAGTAGACAAAATAATTTCCCACCCAATTTAAACCCTGGACAGTATAGGAATACCCCAGTTATCACAAAGGTTGCATTCCTAAGTCATTGTGAATTAGGAATGTGTGAATATCGGGACAATTTTCCCCATAAGAATTAATGTAAATAAAGGGGATGCATTCCCAGCCAGCAACTTTGAACACATATTTTTTTATGCACACTCCTCATAGTCCCAATAAATGTGAGGAATAAATAAAAATTACACTAATAAAAAAAAAAAACCACCACATTGCCAGTTGGCAATAGTTTCGCTACACACTGGAACGGCAGAGATTCCCAACACTAAGCACTAACCAAGCACATAATACATATTTATTCCCTTCATGTTTTTGACCTTATATTTTTTTTTCCATTCCATATGAACAATTGTGTATGCAAGTAATAGAGTATTTTTGTTCAATCCACAATGCGATGTCTAGCTTTATACCTAGGTATGTAAATGCCTAGCATTAACTCACCAGGCCAACATACAGGCAATTAAAATAACTAATAATTACTTAAATACGTAATATTAGGAGGACACGTCGCTACCTGGCATTTAATTGCAATTCTCAAAACCCCCTCCCGCACCCTCCATCACACGCATTGCTACCGTCATCTTCTTGCCTGGCGAATCAGCTGTTTTTTCTCACCTGTTCATTGTGTTTTGCAACTCAGAGCTTGTATGCTGTGTCAATTTGAGCTGCAATGTTCACTTTACCCAGCAATGATAAATCAATCATGTTATTCATGTGTTTAGCTGACTGCTCATGTTTCGTCCATGCTGAGTCCCCACCAAACAACAAGCATGGAAAGCAGAATAAAGCATTTGCCTCGTCACAACCACAGAGCCATTCACATTTCTGATAAACACTGATGTTAAACTGGTGTGTATATTCTTTGTTCCTGCTTTTACTATTCTATTGAATGGATAAAACTAGTGAAGGTCTTCCTCTTGCTTTGATTTCAGCCTTTTCATTTAATGTCAGCTGGGAAAAGTTGATGCTTTGCAAATACACTGTACTTCACTCGATTTTCCATCATCAAAGGGTAATTAAAGAAAGCATGACTAAACCGCACCGTCTGCACACAATGTAAACATGAGACTGAGCTGCACCGACTGCAGCTCATCGTTTCCAGATGTGGCGCCAATTAATAAGACATGAATCGTACAGCAACTATGAAATTAACTTAAATTTTTATTACGATATATTTGTTAGTACGTAATGTATTATTCTGCTGTGTTTCTGAAGGAATCATACACCTAGCAGTGAGTGTCTGGGAGACTGCAACTCTGTAGCTCCTGGGCACGAGCCGCCACTGTGTATATGTGACAGAGTAGAAAAAATAAATAAAATTGTACATATCGATCCCAAAATACAAGTTAAAAATAGGGGTAGAGTGAGGGTGGGGGGGGGGATGAAGCTACAGGGACAGTTTTAGTGTCTGACCGCATGTTCTTGTGACTTGGCTTGTCGCCCCCTAGGGTGTAATAAATTAATTAGATAAATAATAAATCCACATGACTAAACAGATGCTCACAAGCATTAAGTGCAGGTAGGGGGCGTTAAGCTTGAGAGAGGAGTCACAATGTTGGGAAAGACCTCAGTTGCTTCATTCCACTCCTTGGACATGCCAAGTAGCTATCAAGCTCCTTCATTTGAGGAGTTTGTGGATGATTGTTGCCTCTAAAGAGTCTGAGTCTGACTAAGACTCACTGTGAACTGTCACTAATTGGGGAGTGGTTGTGGTGACGTCACTTTTCGATTCCAATCGATAAGTGGCTGAATTTTTCGCACCACATAACATCTGGAGGGTGCTGGGGGGAAGGGGGATGGGGGCAGTGGTACATAATTATTTCAGCAGAATTTTAAATACACTCAGTCTCTCACACACATACACACATGTACAGATACAGGCTTTATATACAGTATACAGGTACTCTTTGATTTACGACAACCCGGACATACGACCACGGCTGTCATATAAAATATTTTTAAATTACAGTATTGCCCCGCTTTACGCGGTTTCACTTAACGCGATTTTTCATATACGCGGTGCCTCGCCAGAACCGAACTTTCACTTAACGAGGTTCATCTACTCATATACGCGGGAAGCGGCGTGGGCACGATGCACACAAGGTCGCCCAGTCATCAAAACATTAGCGAGTTCTTCATCCGCCACCCACCACAGCCGGCCCAAGTCAGTGATAGTGAGGATATGGACTTATATGGACTTTGAGGGGTTTGACAAAGAGGCCCTGCAAGCCTCTGTGGTGGATAGTGATACAATTGATACAAGTGATACAGGTGAGGGCCAATAATCTGCCCTCTGCCTCGGAACCAACCCCCCATCCCCGTGTGCCCAGCCATCTTTTCTACTAATGTAAGTGTTAAAAAACCTAATATTATTGATATTTCTCTTAATTATTAATTGTGTGTGCATACCATCATAAAGTTAAGAAAATATTTTTACAACAACATAGTTGTGTGTCGTCAAAAAGTGGAGTTTGGGGGTCGGGCCAGTCTCTATTGGAATTAAACCCATATGTTCTGTTGTTCACTTAACGCGGTTTTCACTTGACGCGGTACCCCGTGGGTTCAATTGACAGCGTAAAGCGGGGTACAACTGTACTTATTTTCTAGTACCGAAATGTTTCGGTCCCATACGACAGTGTGTGCTGGGCCGCCTCGTGGTGTACAGCATCCACGCCTTTGCTCGCTCAGTTCGTGTTTGGCCGTCGTTATTGTCATTAGTGATTGCACTGTGTACTGACAAAAAAAAATTTTCTAATTTCCTTTAAAATGACTGGCAAGCGTAAAAGTGAGAGTTCTCGTGGTGCTGAGAAGAAAAAGAAACAGTCAATTACTTTTGAGATGAAAATAATAATGCAATATGAAAATGGAAAAACGGTAGCAACCATTTCGCGTGACCTTGGCTTCTCACTCGACTATATCAACAATTTTGAAGGACAAGGAACGAATTTGTAAGGTAGTGAAAGGATCAGCACCTATAAAGGGAACAATAACGAAAAAAAGACAAAGTCCTCTTCATGAGATGGAAAAATTACTTGTGATGTGGATGGAAGATCAGCTGCAAAAGCATGTACTCGTAAGCCTTCTAACCATAAAGGCTAAGCCTTTTCGAAAGCCTGAAAGAGCAGGCAAGAGATGAGTGCGACCAAAATTTCACAGAAAGTCATGGGTGGTTCCAAAGGTTTAAGAACTGCTACAGTTTGCATAGTGTAAAGGTGAGTGGAGAGGTAGCAAGTGCTGATGTGAGTGCTGCTGAAGCTTTCAAGGAGGAGCTAAAACGTGTCATCATGGAGAGATATTATTTGCCTGAGCAAATATTTAATGTGGATGAAACTGGCTTATTCTGGAAGAGCATGCCAGAATGGACATACATCCACAAAGAGGCAAAAACCATGACGCGATTCAAGGCATTCAAGGACCGAACCACACTTCTGTTCAGGGGGGGGGGGGGATGTAGCTGGTTTCAAGGTAAAACCCTTCATGATATATCATTCAGAGAACCCAAGGGCTTTTAAAAATGTCAGCAAGCACACACACACACTGCCAGTGTTTTATCACAGTAATAAGAAAGCATGGATGACCCCTAGCACTGTTTGAGGATTGGTTCCCGAGTGGTTTCATTCCACGAGCTAAGGAGTATTGTCTGCAACAAGGGGTTGCATTCAAGATTTTATTAATTTTAGATAATGCTCCGGGACACCCACCACACCTCGACGACCTGCACCCTGATGTTAAGGTAGTCTACATTCCACCTAACACTACCTCTATCATCCAAGCCATGGTTCAAGATGCTATTGCTGCTTTTAAAGCGTATTGTTTATGTACGACCTTCGCTCAGGCTGTTGCTGCTACTGAAGGTGAGAAAATGCTCAGAGAGTTTTAGAAGGACTACAACAATTAGCAATGTACAAAGAACATAGCTGCAGCGTGGGATGAGGTTACAGTTCAGTGCATGAATGGAATATGGAAGAAGATCCTGAAAAGATAAGTGAACAGTTTCAAAGGATTTAATGAAGAAGCAATTTCTGAGATTAGTAACAAGATAGTGCAGTTGGGTAAACAGCTGGAGTTAGAAATTGATAATGAAGATGTTGAGCAGTTGGTTGAAAGTGTAGCAGATGAGCTAAGTTACGAGGATCTTATTGAACTGGATGCACATAAAATTGCAGAGGGAGAAGAGAGACAAAATGTAGAAGAAGAACCTGCACCCCCCAAAAAGTTTTCAGTGAAACAAATGGCAGAGGCATTTGCTACTATTAATAAGGGGATGCAAATGTTTGAAGAAATGGATCAAAATGTTGAGCGTTTTGCAAAAGTTGACAGATTGATCCAAGATGCACTTGCTTGCTACAGGGAGATTTACAATGAAAAGAAAAGGCAAACTGTGCAGTCTAAATTGGACATATATTTTAAGAAGTCCCCCACTGCTGTCTCCTCATGCCCCACCACTGCTGCCTCTTCACTCCTTAAAGATGATCCAATACCTTCAACAAGCAAGTATGTTAGCCTGTCTGAAGAAAGTGAAATTGATGACCCACCCAGCCGTCTCCTCCTTTGCTTCATCCAATTAATGTAGTCTGCATGTTTAATTAAAAAATTCAGCTGACTACATTAAAAGTAAGTGCACAGTAACACTTTACTCATTTTTCATTATTGATTACTTTTACTGTACTGTACAGTCAACCCTCACTTTACACGGTTAATGTAACCCACAGGGTACCACGGAAAGTGAGAAACGCGTAAAGTGAATAACATAACATATGGGATTAAATGAAATAGAGACCAGCTGACCCCCAA